CATGTTATTAATGAACTAAACAGTCATTGTTTATCATCTATATATGACGGTCCAAAGGGAAACCCTCTAGCTGCTCTTTATAACATAAATCTATTCCCAAGGTTGTCTAGAGTTCATTCCCTGCCCTGTTTACATCTTAAACTTCCTGCAGCCCACTGACATTTCTTCACATGGGCCAAATCAAGAACAGAGGATGAGGGATGTTTACCACACAAAGGGCATAGTCACACAAATAGACCACAATGGAGGCGGGAGAGTTGCATAATCCTTCTAAAACGCTACCAAATAACTATTAAACCCGTATTTGTAGTAAAAAAATAAAAAAGTTGTACGACCGTAAACATACTGCAGTAAACTGATCCATAAACACTGTAGACTGCCTTGTTGTCTTTGTACATTTGTAGCGGTTTACTGAAGTCTCAACCTCATCTCTAAGTATTGCCACAAAAAACTTCAACTTCTTTCTATATTCACTTGCATTCTTACACATACACAACATGATAAATATAGATCAAGAGGCAGCTGCACAGCACTGCACTGTTTAAAACAACAATGTGGCCCTTCTGTGCTTTTTAAATGAACTCGCAAACTATGTGTACATAGAGACACACACCCAGCACCCAATAAAAGAACACACTCTTTCACTAGACTCAATTGGTTTTTAAACTTTTACATTTCAGCTACCTAAAAAAACAAAATACAAAATTGTTGTCTGTTTTTATTTCATAAATATTAAATAAATAAGACATTTTCTTTTCAGTTGTGTCATAATATGTCCGAGAAGACAGTCTTGTGATTGGTGACCACTGCTGTGAAGGAACACAGCTTGGGAAACGTACATTTTCAGTATTGTGCAGGTTATGCAACCGTCTCCCCTTTGACCGTGTATGTGTCACATGTCAGGGTGGGGGTCTGCAAGGCTTTAAACTATGTGCAGGCTCTTGCTGTGCACTGGTGCCATGAACCGGGGTATCACCATAAATCTGAAACCAGTGGCTCCTGACCTTTTGTCTTTTTGAATAAGATGCCCTGAGTAGTAAGCATTCCTAAAGTGGCTTTGGTCAGCTGGGAGCGGACAACATCATGAAGAAAAATATAGAGGTCCTCAAAGTGACCACTCACATGACCCAAGCCACTAAAATGTGTATTGTTTTAATTTTACTGTCTTTAATGTTCAGTCTTTCTAAAAAAAAAAAAACCAACAAATTGGATTAAATATGATTTTTTTATATGGTCATGGTAAAATCACACCACAGAATCAATTTTGAGTTATAATGTTAGTTTTTATCACAGATGAACTGTTCAGAACAAAAGCACAGTTTTAGGAATGGCTTCTTTGTGTTTTTAATTTATCATCAAACGGACTGGGACTAACTAGATTTAGTCAATATAATAAGTCAAACCAGCACATTGGATTAAGGTCAAGCTCTCCAACATCCTCAGAAGTGAAAAACATTCTAAATTTTACATCTTGTTTTTAGAAACATGAAAAACTCCAGACACCTTACCCACAGACCCCATAAACACAGGTTCAACAGGTTCGTCTTCCAAATACCGTTAGCTATTCCAGTGATTTAACATCCAGGCAGGATGCTAGACATTTCAAATCCAAAACAAATGTATTTCAACAGTTCATTTCCCACCATTTCAGCATGCAACATGAGCTTTGCAAACGTGTGTGCTGCAAAAACCCCCCTTGTTTACCAGAGAGAGACATGAAGCAAGCACTTTTTTTTCTCTTTGAGCCAAAAACCTCCTCATGTCAACCCTCTGACCTCATTTGTAATGTTGACAGCCTAGATGATTATTGTTTGGTCCATCGTGTCGTATGTGGTCAAAAATAGAAAGCAATGTGTAAGGCTCACACAAAGATTCATTTGATTATGCATGATTCAAGGCCTAACCAGCATCTGTCTGTGGTGGTGCAACAACTTCTTTGTCTTTGCGATCGGACTTTGTACATTTGGTTAGAGAAGCAAGAACTGTGTCCACTTAACATCACATGGGTGAAGCAGTAATTGACAAACAGTCTTGACCAGACAGCAATAAATACATAAATCTGAAAAAGTACTTGTAAGAAACCGATAAAGTAATAAACATTATTAACAGGACATAAGGGAACAATAACTCACTCCAACTCAGATAGGATTGTAACTAAACAATTGTATGAGCTTGTGCATTGTAATTTTTCTCGGCTTCAGTGGTCGACATCAACATCCACCTCAAAGAGGTCACATTGCCTTGTCAACACATGAAATAAGTGGTGTGAAGGGAGATAATAATGAGTCATGCTTGTAAGTTGTGTAAAGTGTTGTGTCTCTGCAGTATCTTACATGAGAGCAATAAAGGCCCATTTTTCCTCTTACATAACCATCTGCCATCAACAATTTGCAACCCTTTTCGAACCGCTTTTTATGGAAAAAACAGGGCAACTCCTTGTTCATATTACAGGAAATGTGCAATAATTGGCACAGCATTACAGTATGACATACAGCTAAAATCTGACATTTGTTTCAGTCAGCTCTGGCTTTAATGTTTGACATGATGAATATGTTGACATTTAGAGGACACACAAGTTGTATACGTCTGCATGAAAAGCAGTCGGACCAAATTATTCCCCTGCATGCGAACCCAACCACACTGAGGCAGAGCTCGCCTATCCCAGCACAACCCATGAATTTCCATCCGAAACAGATGTTTTTGTTTCGTTTTTTTTTTTCATTGCATAACATTTGTAATCCAATACAACCTCCTCTCTCGGCTGCCTGGTTTCAAGCGAGCTCCAATCTAAAGTTTAATTCCACACCTAAGGCTCTTCCCACACTTAATATTTAACTGTACTTTATGGGAGGTGTTGTGGAATCGATGATGCTTTGACTGTGTTCTTGCCTTTTTAGAAAATCCGGTGGAAGCCAGAAATGGGTGCAAGTCTTCAGTCATTAACAAATGAATGAATGTGAGCACGTCCTACACATTAGAGTGAGCTTTTAACCAGAGGGGTGAGATCAATGTTTTATATATCATCCTGAAAGAGTAAACATGTTGAAATTGGGTTTTGTAATTTAGAACATCTTGGTTAGAAGTGTTAGAAAATGGAAAACATATTTAGTGTTTCATTGATACATTTTTATTATATCCGCACAAAGTGTGTTACAAGAAGGAGGTAAGAATAGTACCACCAAATCCTGACTTTAAAAAAACACTGATTTCCAGAGGTTCCTGGAGGGAGCAGATAAACAAAAAGACCAATGGAAAAAACCTAAACAGAAAACATGGCGTTGGCAAAGAGACAAATATTTCCTGATTGGGCCTCAGTTGCCAACTATGACTGAAGATTTATGGCGAATCAGTTTCGAATAAAAAGCCACGTGCACTGAAGTGATTCTAGAACACACTGTTACTAACCCAGTCCCGAAATAGAAAGACAGAACGAGTGTTAAAGCAAAACAGTAAATCAAGCCAAAGTCCTAATTGTCTTCAGACATTTTGTGAGCCTCTAGAGCCTGTGGCGTGTGCATGCTAGCTGTACAGCCAGATGAAGTTTTTCCACTGTGTTAGAGGCTGCATTAGCCATTAGCACAACTATAATTAAACTACTGCACCACTTCCTGGATCGACATGCACACAGTGTTCAGGTATCTGGATGGGAAGCAGAAAGACTGTCTCCAATTATCTTGGGCAAAAAGGGCCAATAAACGCCTGTCCCTCTCCTCTTCGCTACGTTAAACAAAAGTCCCACTCAGTCAATACGCTGCATATCCCGCCTGCCACTAATTCAGTGCAGTATGCATTTCAAAGCAGGCCGTATTGATCAGGACCATCGGTTTCACATAGAATCAGTTGTTTTGACACGAAACACCAGAGGAGACCACAGTTTCATGTGTAAAAGTGAGCAATGGGGAAGACACTGTGTTTACTCCAGTGCTATTTGATCTGCGGTGGTGATTCTGGGCCCAAGATGAGCGTTTCTGTTCTCAGCACTAGATGGATCTGAGCCTGGTCTACACACCAGGGAAGCCACAACATATCTAGTTACACACAGGCTGCGCTGACTGGCTGCCAAACTGTCTGAAGGGAAATGCTACTAGGACAAAATGTTTTTTCACTCTGGCAGATTCCAATCCACTGTCAACCAGCTATTATTACTTCACTATCATTAGTGGTCACACTGTTTTTGACTTTGGAAAAAAAAATGTGTACCTACTAATATATAAAGGTTTTTTTTTTCCTGAAGGCTTGAAGAGCCAGCATGCTAGATTAAAAAGTACCTCTGTGTGAAGTAGGAGCCTCGTGGCCTCCGTGCGACGTTTTTTTGTTGATGGCAATGATTTTGCAAATCACATGCTTGTCAAACTGACCTTGTAAACACAAAACAAGGCTCAGAGAGCTCAATAGAAATCAGCATATATTCAAAGATGTTGTGGTGGAATGGCTCCGACTTCCAAGAATGTGAGGTTCATTTTGCAAACAGGCTATGTGTTGTTTACGCTGAAATTCAAATGAGAGGAATTTCACTGTCTCCCGACTCTTATTTCAGCACCAGAAAATGCAATCATCCTGGGTGTTGTTACAGCCGTTTCTTCTGTCTTTCCCCGGCTGGATTTCTGCTGAACAAATCTCTCCATTTTATAGAATATCTCACCTCCAAAACAAACTACCTTAAGGGAAATGTTAAAAATCTGGTCAGATGTCAGCGGCATTTCCCTATTACTAAAGTGTATTAGTGTATAAGGCAGTTATAAAGTTACACATGCTCATTTGCTTACTATTGCTCCAAAAATAAATATAACCAAGCATTCATTACACCTGCTTAACAACTATTTTAGTTAAGGACATTAAATACATATTATATTTCCATAATATTGTAAAATCACAATGTTAGATCATGAATTGAACTCTGTGATGGTGCCACACATCAAATCAAACATTTTTTTCCTTTTGTGGATCAAACACGAGCTGTGTGAGCGCAGTTAAAGAACAAAAAACAGAGTGTCACTGTATTGTATTATGTAAACATAAGGTTTATTGCAAATGTGCAGTCGTATCCAAACACCATAGTGAACAACTGTTTCCAGGATACTTTACAGCAACAATACCGTTATCTTTACAAAAACACATAGAAACTTTAGCACTAGCTACAAACATAACTTCTCCCTGTGAAGTTTTACACATGGTCCTGGTTTGCTCAGTTCCTGTTGTTGAAAGAGAAAAAAAAAAAAAAAAAAAAAAAAGCAAAGTCTTTGGTAGCTAGAAAAACAACAACAACAGAGCTCGGTGTGGAAATGTGTTCTTCTTACTACTACGGACAGGCACTGTTGTCATGCCATCGTTTTCAAGTTGGCATCTGAGCAAGAAACGGACCAGGTACTGGACGACGCTGCTAAAAATCAGGAGTGCATCTGCAGCGACAAAATGCCCGTGTCTGCTTGCTTGCCATCTCCACTACGCTCACCTCAGGACGTTTCAACTTGTATGTACACTGTAGTTATCCTTTACTGTGAAGAGCTAGGAAAACAAGGTGGGCAGATATGCCTGTCCCCCTAGATTACAAACAAACAAAAAAAACTTTTTAAGACCTCTGTACAATACTCCTATTTTTTTTACAAACAACTGATTTTTGTTCAGAATCACAAACAAAAACAGAAGAGATAGCAGGATTAACTTCCCCCGTAAGCAGCAAGCCCCAACTGCAGACAATACAAGACTACATTTTCTGAATCATTACAGTATACTGATCAGTCTACTGCAGCGGTTCACCAGCTCTAATAGGCTATACTGCATTAACCTCCACCTCTGTTGCCTAAGCTTATCCTGTTGATTATTCTTGTTATGCTTAAATGTACACTAACACATGAGCAATGCATTGTAGGTACAGGAAAAGTCTTCGTTATGTGGCTGAAATGTGCGGCTGGGAGTCCTTAAAACTTGTATTTGGAGATTAAACAAATCCACATGATGGGGCTCTTCTCGTTGAGACATGGAGGACTGTCTCTGGTGGGTCTCCTCTGGGTGAGGACCCCTCTCACACTTCTCCAAGTTAGCACCAGCAGGGCCAGCCCGATCAACACCTCCTCACAACCCCTAACTAGAGCAGAGGGTGTTTGTTGGAAGGGTTCGGCTAGGCGGGGAAAGCCCCCCCCACCCCACCCCACCTGTCTGAAAGCAAGCGCTTGCTGGTGTCTAGTCAGCTCTCGCTCTATTCTCAGCGCTTTTGTCTACACAGAGACTACGACAAAGAGTTGGACGGTATCAGTGGACGGGCCTGAAACCGCACCGGTCAGAGCGTCTTATGTTCTGTTTTGAGCTTATCAGTCAACAGTTCTTTTGTGTCCCATCGATCATTTACTGCCCCGATGCTTCACCTTCGTTGTGTCGAAGGGGTTCTCGGCGGCGGCGATTTCTGTAACGCTTCATTCAAAATGGAGGTCCATTACTGTTAAGAGACAGTGGCTCTGCCCGCCCCAAGGCAGAGCCACTTACACAGCAGAGCCAGTGCTGTGCATGAAGGACTGCTGCTGCTGCTGCTGCTGCTGGTCGGGGGTCACCTGGTTGCTCTGATTGTCCAACAGCACATCTGTTGGGATGCGAGACTGGAACTTCTCCAGCTGTTCTGGGCTGGCCAGGTTCTTCAACAGGTAGTTCTCCCTCTCGAGCTGGTTGTTCTTCTCCGCCAGCTCTTTGATCTGCTCTTTTAGGATCTCTACCTCCTCGCGCACGGCGTACATGAGGTGGTTCTTGACAAGATCCTGTCATAACAGAAGAGAGAGAGGACGGATCAGTTTCAGATATAAAAACAGAGAAATGTTAAGACTTGTAAGGTCGATGTGCTCGGTTGCACAGCTGATGTGCTTGCTGAAAGAATGATGGGTTTGCTGTCAGAGGATCTTATACTGCATTTTGTGTATTAACTCACAGGGATCTCTCGTGAGATACAGTAAAATACACACTTTAACTTTGACTCAAGGGCGTTTTTCAACAATTCTGTGCTGCAAAAATGTTATCAGTGTTTCTCTTTTGGACTTCCTGCTGTCATCTCCTGCACTTGTTTTCTACTGTGTCACATGAATAAAGCGTACAGCCTGCACTGCCTTCACATAACAGGGACTTCCCAGAGCATTCATAGAGAGCCCGGTTGCGTGCCGAATGCGTTGGGGAAACTGCGTTTTGGGGAGGTCGGAGGTTTATAACTGTCCTATACATGCTGATGTTTCTCACAGGATAAACTCTTGTGGTCAAAGAGACCATCTAAAAGGTCACAGGTCGTGTAGCAATGTGGATGCACTGGTAGTCATTGTAAGTCACTCTGAATAACAGCAGCAGCTCCTACATGCAGTCGACTTGTAGAAGTCAGTCAACTGGGATTTGAATACACTTTGTTTTAATAGACGGGCATGTCCTCTAGAGTGCAACCTATATGTCTTTGTGTAGTGTTTTGTCATCTCAGCTTACCATCGCCTGTTCAATCTTGTTGTCGATGGCCACAACGCTAGCACCAGAGGCACTGCAGAAGAGAAAGAAAGACAGGCCATAAATGAAGAGTTCAAAGCCACACTTTAATAGTCAACTCAATCCCAGAAACACTGAAAGAAACACACTGGTGTCTCTTGAATTCCTCGCTCTGTGACAGTGAAACAGAAAGCTTGCAAAACAGAAAGGAAAACCGTTTGTACTCGTCTGTAATCTAGTTTATTTTTGTGAAGTATGAACAGCATGTTTACTGCTCTGATTGTAAAATGAGGTCGTGGTGTAATAAGGACAGAGAGTGTAGGAGGAAGTGGCAAAGCAGCGTTAGAATATCTGCTCAAAGTCCAAATAAACAGCAGCAGAAAGAAACACAGCTGGGCAGACAGGGTTTGGTGATTACAATAAATATCAGACATTGCTAATAAATGCGCATTGTATTCGAACCGCGGTATGGAAATACAGTGTCTCGAGGCCTGTAATAGAACGAGAAGAGGGCTCGTGCTCCGGTTTATAACTCATTAAACGCCTCTTTTTTTTTTTTTTTTTTTATCGAAATATAGGTTTCAGACATACGGCGGGACTGTGTCGATATTTACCTGTTGTCAAGTTTGACGGATACAACGTCTCCTCCGAGTAGCGAGGAGAAGAACGAGATGGAGAAGTTATGCAGCTGGTAGACGGCCACCTCCATGGGTGTTTTCGCGAACATCTCCGTGCTCATGTTGAGTACCAGACTCGTTTGGATTATACTTCTCGCCACGTTTGCGACTGGTTGGGTCACCTAAGTGTGTATCCGGATTAGTTTCGTCCGTAGGGGTTACGATGCACTGAGTCGCTGCTGCTGGCTGAGCTGCGGTGCTGTGTCGGTGTGTGAGCTTCGCCGGTTTTTACAAGCGACTGTCTGATGCTATTTCTGCCACCGGCGGCTATTTCAATGTCTCGCCTTCTGACGTCACCTGACGCGCGCATATATTAGTCAAATGAGTTGGCGGGTAAGATTTTATGGTGCCTTCCCGTGTCGTTGGTTAAACTGGTTTTTAGGACCTGGACCGTGAAAGGAATCTGTACAAAAGGTACACAACAACTTTGTTTTTTTTAACGTAATAAACATGGGTGGGGGGGGGGGGACGTTAAGTACTCACGAGGCTGGCTGTAGTAGTGTATTGCTGTTTTATGAGACTTGCTCTACTAGTCAGGGTGGTGTTATTTTCCTATGTTTTGATACTATTGTGCAGAATGAAGATTCAAATGTAACACATAAAGCCATAGAATATTATGCAATGGAGAATAAAACCTACAACCATTGCACACTATACTTACTAGGTGTTTAATCCTTGCTCAATTGATAGTGTGATAGATTTTTACTCTGGTGTTATTGGTCAACTAAAACTTTTTTTTTTTCTTTAAACAACAAACGCATTTTTCATCACTAATCTGCAATGCACTGTAAAGTGCACCCATCATCCAGTTAATTTACAAAACAAAGATCACTTAATTAATTAATTCTAGTTCGCATTATAGTTTATTAGAAGTAAACAAAAGCGATCGCCTAAATAACGAGTTTTAAAGGAGCACTTGAATGCAGCATCACGTCTGCCCTGCTTCTGAACTTCTCTGCTGCTGCACATAACCCACAGACCGAAATCCGTACTCATTGCAACAAAAACAACCAACTGAACAATCGGAGGCCTGCACAAATAAGTCACTCGTGTTGCTGATAAATAAAAACTCGATTTGGCCACAGGAAGATCGCATGTCGCGACCTTTTGTATCATATGATTTCCACTTGACTTCACTTATTTATCAATAGATTTTAGAGTAGGCTAAACTTATGTTTTCTTTATTTCTGTGATTTAAAAGTAGTCATTAGCTATTAGTTATTGACTTTCTAAGTGTAAACTTTTGCAACTTAAAATAAGTTGGAGAGCTGTCCTTGATTTGGTCTACTTAGCAGACATTATTATGACAACAAAAACATTTTGTCCCCATCAATTTATTGTTGTTTGTTACAGTACATGGTATAACGGAATGTCCTGTACATGTGCACACATATGTATATGAGTCCTGCATCCGCATAGGTAGTTTTCCATCCTCTCTCCCGGTAAATTTCCCCTCAGTCTATATTTGAACTCTATTGGTCTCTAGTGGTGAAAACGTATAATACACCGGCCCGTAGGGGACAGTATTTATGACCGGGGCTTTGTTCCTGGACAGTGTTTAATATGGAGTTTTCCATATAGCTTTTCCTGGCCTTGAATTCACAATTGAATAATTCCAGGTTGTTTTTCTCTGGAAACATATTGAAACTGATCAAAGATGACCAGAATCAGGTTTATTGCCAATTAGGTTTTCACATACAAGGAATTTGCCTTGGTATTTATTTATTTATTTATTTATTTGTTTGTGTATTCAGTACTGTTCATATGCCATACTAATTGTGTGTTTTTTTAAAAATCGAACTGTTCACATTCACCCTAATGTGTGGACTAAACAAAAGGAGCAGACTGCAATGCATTTATTGTGTATACCACCATTCATTGGAAGGACATACAAAAATCCCCTAGAGCTGAAGCACTGTTCTCTGGTGTGTGACCTCTTGCACTTCAGATGGTCTTTTCAACGTGCATTTTACAACGTGTGACGCAACCATACTGAGCCTCCTGCAAAGTGTAATAAACAATTTGTTTTAGAAGTCAACCTTAGAAGACACTAGAGAAAAAAACATGTACCTGCTGTTATCTATTTTTTCCACAGCAGTTTCTCTGAGTACTGACTGTGACTGCTATTGAGCAATAGACCTTGTTTTCACCGAGGCGTCCATGCAGGTTTTAATAGCGTTAATGTAATTGCTCAGCGCCTCTCAGCCGCCACATTATGTTCCCTTTTGTTGTTACAATTATCTGATTCAGTACTGATTATAAGCCAATTAAATTTCTATTACAGAACCTCTGTTGCACCATTATCTTTTTTTCCAAAACGCAGACGAACTATAGAGCATTACCAGCAAGACACAATAACTTTTATGGAAATTCTCTGCTGAGTGTCCAACACTAGCTATTACATTTGGTTTATACATGGAATCCACAGTATGCATACATCTATAAATTGAATAATGTGGAAAACCTAACGCTATGTTTTTTCCTGTAAGATTGCACTGCACGGGAAAAGAAAAGCTCCGTTTAAAATAATAACAAATGACCCAGTGCCCTTTCTAATCTCTGCATGGTAAACGAAGGTCTGCCACGTTTTTTTTGGGGGGGATAAAAAGGAGTTCTGTTATGTAACAAAACAATTAGAGTGGAAAGGCGGACTTTTGGTAGACCTAACGAGGCTAAGCAGAAAACACACTGACCGGGTATTAGGGCCCATAGTGCCTGTCGTCTCAGATTTCGTGCTGTGACAGTACAGCTGCCAGGTTTAATATCAGGCCCTGTTCTGGCGATGAGGGGCTGGTGAATTACCTTTCCCTGCTGTGATAGTCCCATTTAGTAGCCGAGGAGTCACCTGTGTCTCAGCTGAGATGCACAGATGGAGACTACAGACAGTGGGGGGCCTTCCTGCACTGTTCAAGTAAAATATACCTAATGAGGCACATGCAGTAAGATTGTCATTATCTTACTGCATGTGGCGTAAAATAGGATGCTCATGACCTTTATGCTTTGCCTGCTTTATTCACAGTTTTATAACTGCTCCAACACAAATCTCAACAAGTGAAGGATATTTCACACACAGCAAGTATAGTTTAAATTGTATCTGCATGTTTCTAAACAGTTTAAGTGCCACAGACACTGACCTATGCTGCCTTTTCAAGAAATTAAGTCCCTCACATTTCTGTAGAACTCCAACTGCCTGACCATGTTTGGCGAGTGCCAAATCCAGTGAGTCACTCTAAAGCTAGGCGATGGGCCACGGTTTCCATCAGATGTCCCCTGAGCAAGAGCCAGCCGCGTTATATAATGCCGTGATTCATCTGCACCAATGACTGAAGAAGAATGAGGTTGAGACATGCCGCCAGCCTCCCAGCTTTTGTTATGAGCAGCATTCTGGGGATTTGACGCACCAAACTCAAGATGTACACAATACAGCCCAGTAAGAAGACAGCAAATCCACAGAGAAAAAATAATTTTATCACTTTGATATTGCTTCTTGGTCAAAAGGAATGCCTCTTCCTTTTACTGTGTATGTCCCATCATTTATCTGCACCCTCGCAATTAGGAATGCATGACATGACGTATGAGTGTGACCTGAGACCTTCCACGGGCTGTAGCCAGAAGCTGTCTCAGAGGAAACTGTCAGTATGGGCAGAACGACAGGCTACGGCCAATGAATACTGAACACTATACCTACACGAGGACACCCAGAGGCAGTCATTATCATCACATCACCTGTAAGTCTCTTGAGCCATTATTATAAAAAAAAGGGCTCATGGCCTTGGTCTTGCTCATAAGATTTTTCAATAAATTTAACAGGCTGTCAATTTCTGCACTTGGATTGTATGTAATATAGGTTGTATCAAACATGAGGTGCATGCTAAAGAGGAACAGGACTGACATTGTTATCCAAGGGCTGATAGAGATATCACTCTCTGTCTGCTTTCTACGCTGCAGGCACAACATCCAACAATGTGTATCAGTCTAGTGGAAGTGAAAATACAACAACATGATCATCAAGGTTAATGTCATTTCTAGTTCTGTTTTGTTCTCTTTTTGCCAAGACTGATTTTGTAAATTAGATTCCAGTGCTTCTTCAAACGACTCTGAATGTGAACATACATGTGAACATACATGTGAACTGTTATACAAGCCCCTACATGACAAAAACTGCATCCACATCCCTACATCATGCAGACACTGACACACTGCAGATATCATCCATCTTCTCCTGAACTGTCCCTAATGTGCACATCTGTCACTGACACACATCACTGTCATGCCAGACACAAGACAAACTCTGACTATCCTCTGCGGCCCCCCCACTTACCGCCGATCTGGCCTCTTGAAGAAACTCGGTGAGTAAGGGGGCGAGTAGCTCATAGCT